TTTTTTTTTTTTTTTGAATTTTGAGTCTTGAACCCGTAAACCCGGCCCGGACCGGGCCCGGCCCGCCGGGTTTTTTTATTATCGAAAAGGCCCGGAACCGGCCCGCCATATGTCCGGTTCCGGGCCGAAAACCGGCTTTTCCGGGCCGGTTCCGGGCCGGTCCGGGCCGGGTTCGGTCCGGGTCCGGGCCGGTTCGGCGGGCCGGTTCAACCCTTGGCCATGTCTATCTCCGTCAAAACCAAGTCAGCCGGCCATCGATTCAACAAACAAATGAGCGTACGCAGCAGCTGCCAACATTTGCAGCAACCTCGAGGCCTTTTGGCCGCTGATTCACGCAAAAGCCGAGAAGACGCAAATTCTCCTCGCCTGCGAATCCATAGCCGCTGCCGTCAGCCGCGGTTGTGCAGCAACTCCCGAACAGCCAGCCATCGCCGAGGAGCTTCCTCCCGCGAGCCGCCACCGAGTGCTTTCAGTCGAGGTCCACCGCGCGTGAGACCAAATTATTGAGCCTCTGTCCACGTCCAGCCATGGCGAGCTTCAACCGCCGTTGAATGAGCCATTTAGGGCGCCGCTGCTCGTCGAAACCATTCTGTAGTTGCCGCGCCGGTCCCCGCCGCTCCAATCACCGCCCGCTGCAGACGAGCCTCTCGGTGGGAGGTAATCCGCCGCCGTGAACAAGCCGTTCGCCGAGCCCAGGGCCGCCATCTCCGCTACTCACATCCGTCGAGATTGATGTTGCGCGGAATAGTGAATGGAGAAATTGGGATTTGCTTTTGGATCTGCAATTTTGAAGGAGCAGATTAGAAAAGAGACGACGGGAAATAAAAAGGAAAAAGGAAAAAGAAAAAATAGAAAAGAAAATGGTTTTGGGACTTAGCATTTTGCTTTTTGCTTTGGAGAATTTGGGCCTATTGAAGGATTGGGCCTTGGAATATTTGGGATACAAGTGGATTTTGGGACCAAGGAGAACAAATAGAAATGAACACAGTCAAAAGCACGATCGAGATTCCGCCGAGGAGCCTTGCCGTTCCTCCAATTGGAGTTCTCGTGATCTCTCCTTGGAGTACGGTAATGGGTGGCTATTCCTCGTCTGTTCCATTTTTGTTCGATTCCCGAGAACAGTACAAGGCTCGACCCATCTCGTTTAATCTTATATATCGGTTATGTTGTGTGTACGTGTTGGCGAATGTGATTACGAGTATATATATTCAAATGCTTGTGATATTATTTTATGTGTCGAATATGAAATTGTGCATTGACTAGCCTTTCGATTTTGAAAAATCGAACGAGGCCTCATCAACACGTGAATTGGTCGTTGTGGGTTGGAACTCGTATTATCCTTAGTCTTATAGCGAAGACTTCGGATGGATTTGTCGTAAAATGAGTCGGTTATGAATTAATGAAATTGTCTAATCGCTGTTTTGGCAGATAAATTATGATAAATTTTGTGATGCTCGTATTACTGTGAAATTTTGTGTGCTCGTCCCTCAGCTGGAAATACATGTTGTGTAAAAAATTTCGAATTAAAATCTTAAGTATAGCTATTTTTAATAATTGTATGAAATTTTGAGCAGAATCTTGTTAAACGCATATTTAATTGAGTTGTGCTCCAAAACTCATGAAATTTGAGCATGTTGTCTTTCTGTGTGTTGTATAGGTTTTGTAAAATAGTTAGAATATTTGGACTTTCGTTTGCTATATTTAAAAATTATTTGATGAATTATGCAGATTCGTAATTTAATTTTCATAAATTGGTCTGTTCTGCTAAATTGCTGAAAAATTATAAATGGGATAATTTTGTGATGAGTTTCAGCATATAAAAAGATGGGATTTATTTGGGTTCATTTTGGTTCAGCCTTATTGAAAATTTGAAATCAGCAGGAACGAGTTTTAATTTTTAGAATTCGGATACTTGATGTTAATGGATGAAAATTTTATATGTTGCTGTTCTAATATTGTTACTGCTTGTGTAAAATTTTCATGGCTAAATTCATTAATTTGATTTGCTTGCTGTTGTATGCCCGTTTTTTCCAAAAAGTTGCTCGAATTTTATAAAATAGCATGCTTTGAGTTTGGGACTGAAAATTTGTGGTTTTGCTTAACTCTGGGAGGAGTAATTTTGGTTAAAATTTTAGAGTTAAACTCGTATGATAGCCTGGTCAACTCATTTTTGTGATTTAAACTAGTATATTCGTTTATGAGGTGTTTGGAATAAAAACTGTAAACCGACTCGTCACTTGTTTCATTAAGTGTTTGACTTGGTCAATGTTTATGCTTGGATTATGTGAACTCCCATGTGTATTTGGTTGAGTCTAGATGTCGAGTCTAAGTGTTCCAACGTCCACAGGACTTCACGAACAACTTAGTTGAATCAAGTTCGACTAAGTATGATTGTGATTTCTGTTTAAGTCAAAATAGATGTTGATTATGGCATCTGGACTTAATGTAGGTGTTGGACGAGCCGAGCTCGCAGCCTATTCGTGCTTCTGTGATTATCTCCTTTTCGCGACCAGGTGGGTTATTCAAAATTTCTTATGCATTAAATTCTTTATGAAAGTCGAATGATATGATCAATGTATGCATGTGAACCTGTAACCTTCGATGTGTGCGGTTTCGACCTTCGAACGGTTATCCCCGTCGTCGTGTGCGGTTTCGACCTTCGACGGTGCCTAATGATAGGCAGTCTCCGTAGCCTAAAGATAGGCAAGGCCGAGGGGAGCTGTACGCCCTTCGGTATTTACTCCCATTGTTGTGTGCGGTTTCGACCTTCAATGGCTAATGATAGATGTGCACATGAGTAAAATGTTATGATTAGGAGATGTGATATTTGAATGATTCTTGTTCATGCTGCGACCATGCTTATCTGTCTTAATACATTATTTATTGCATAGCGGTGAGCACTACTTTTTCCAACTGTGCTCATCCCCACCTGAAATTCACATTTCAGGTTAAGCAAGGCGGGCACGACGACAGAATGACGAGTGGATGGTCATATTTATGTTATTTGCTTCCGCATTATTTATGAATAAGTTAACCCGGATTGATGAACTTGAGTTGTTTTGGGTTAGGAACTTGTTATTTCATTTCAGGCCTGGCCTTTTGAAAATGTTGGATTTGAACTTGTGATTTGGTTCGTATTATTGAACTATGTTTGGATATTCATGTCGAATGTGTTATTTGAATATCATGTGAACTGTTGGTTTTAGGACAATGAAGTTCATGTGAAAGACCGGGTAATGAATTCCCGTGAGGTTTCAAATATGAATTGAAATCAAGATAATGCCCTAAAGATATTGATTTCGAAAAATGAATTTCGAAAATGTTAACCTGATTTTTGAATAAGCCATGGATTATTTGTTAAATCAAAGTGGGGCGTTACAGATGTGGTTAGCGTTTTCCCTGGTCGTTTGATCGTCTTGGTCGGATTGAGACATGTTCTAAGTTTAACCTAATAGTTTGAGTTGAGATGTGGTGTTTAGTAATTTCAAAAATTAACTTCAAATATCATATGGACCCCTTCCTCTAGCGCCAAAATGTTGATAAACGGATTTTCACAACGTAATTAAGATATGAAAAACAACAAAAGTTACAGAAAATAGGATTTTTATTAAGTTTCTTGAAGTTAGTAACAATATTGAAGAAGTCGGTTTTGCAGTACAAGAGGTCGGTTTCATGGAGAACCGAAGTGTTTAATGCTAGAATTTAATGTGTCGGGATTGGATCCTCGTATTGAATTAAATGCTGCTATTTATAGTAACATTCCGCACGCCTTTTGAGGAGATGCGGCGGCATTTAATGCGGATTGACAGCATAGGGGTGGCTATGACGTAAGCTGGCAGGTAGGTAATGATGAAGGCATGGACAACCCATCAGTTGATTGACCGACGTCGCCTTTTGTCGGACTGAAGTCGGATCTTTGTGACTTCGGTCCCTTCGCGAGATCTCAGTTCTTCATGACCCTCTAGCAAGCCTTTTATACCGAGGTGCTGGCCCAGTACCGAGATGTCCCTGGGAACAGCTCTTCGCGATGCGGAACTTCAACATTTTGTCTCTAACAATCTCCATTAACCTTCCCGAGGTGCCTTTAATTTGCGGAATTCGAATTTAGTGTGAACAGAATGCATATTTATAGTTGATTTGAGACTAAGAGGAGATAATTGATTGCTGGATTGAAAATATTATAATGTAATAAAATAAACAGAATGAGAGGTTGATAAGATCTTATGAGAGAACGAAAATCATAGAAACTTATAGTTTGTTGTTCATTTTGAGATTGATAGGAGATAGATAGAAATTAATCTGCAATTGAACTTGTTTGAGAGAAATTTTCAATTAATTTGGCGATTATCTATACGATTTGTAAAATTAAATAAGGTTTGTATAAATTTTAACGTTTCATGAACTGATTCCATGGAAAGCGCGACCTAGAATTTATCTTCTATATCTTGCTTTATTTATATTTTATTTGGTAAAGTACTCTTGGTTTATTTTTTCAGTTTATAATTATCATCCATATTCGTTAGTCAATTTAACTACAATCTCTGTGGAATACGACCTTGCTCGCCGCTTGCTATAGCAACTACGTACACTTGCAGATAGCGAAAATAATTAACGAACGCTTGACGTCCGAACTTGAGCAGTTCGGGTATCCTTCGTCGAATACCGACCTATTTTTGTTTCTTTCCCTTTCGCGTCGGAACTGTTCGGCAGATCGAAAGACGAGATTGACATGGAATCCTCTGCAATGATGTGTTTTTGAGCTCAGGACGAGATTGACATAGAATCATCTGCAATGATGTGTTGTTGAGCTCGGGACAAAAACTATTGGTACGTCAGCAGTTTGCTCTGGCACAATGACCACTAGAACATTGAGTTCTGCTTTGAACCTGAAAATGACGACACCAGCTATGTATCCTGGTGACACGGCCCCATATTCTATACGTGCTCATTGAACTGAGCAACATAATCCTTCAAGCTCTCCTTAACCCGCTGTACTATGTTCGTGATTGACTCATTCGGGATCATGCAAATTTGGGAACCAATGAAGTGAGATCGAAAAGCCAACCTCTGTTGTTACCACCTCCGAATAGAATGATTGGTCAGTGAGTGGTACCACCATTGTGCCTTGGGGCCGAGTGTAAAGGAAACATCCGACATCCGAGGGAAACCCCAGTCCCTTGCAAGTCCATCCATGAGACGTATGAGAGTCAGGGTCTGAGCTGCCATCATACAGTCCTCTGGGGTTCTTCACCTTCTCCGAAACAAGATCCAACAATATTTCCAGTGCCAGGGGCGGAGCCGTGTTTGTCCCATTTTTGTTGCATTTTTCGTGCGTAATTTGCTTTTCTTTTTTCTCTGTTTTAGGTCGTTTCTTTCGTTTTTAGTCCGTTTCGTGTTTTATTATGTTTTTTCCTTCATTTTGAGTCTTTAGGTTTTTTTTTTGTTTCTTTTTCCGATTTTCTTCGTGTTTTGTCGTTTTTGGTGTGTAGGTCG